TGGGCCGACTCTCTTTAGAGCCACCTTCAAAAAGACAAGCCAGAATGAGAAAACGGTGTTTAAAAATGTATTGCAATGCATATCAAGGTATTACAAGACAAAGCTGAAGCTGAACGAGTTCTGATATAAATAATGTATAAGGAATTGGATTGGGAACAAAATATTATTTTTTCTTTATTGTTGAGATGTCTCATGGGGGTTAAGAACATGAGAGACGCCAATGTTGGATCAGGCCAAAGGCCCATCTAGTCCAACACTCTGTATCACACAGTGGCCAGAAATACCAGTGCCCTCAGGAGGTCCACCAGTGGGGCCAGGGCACTAGAAGCCCTCCCACTGTTGGCCCCCCCAAGCTCCAAGAAGACAGAGCATCACTTGCCCCAGAGCCCCTATCTATACCTTGTGGCATAAGAAGACTAGATGGACTAGATGACCTGCAAGGTCCCTTCTAACGCTAACATTCTATGATTCTATGATTCTTTTCTATATTAAAAGTTACAGTTAAAAGCTGTTCCTGTTGGCAAGAGAAGTCCAGATATATAACTGGTGGTTTAGTCGAGTTGTGATGTCAAATGCAAACCTTACCTAGGTCAATATTTATATTTCTTCCTCTGTTTGTGTGGCGGAAAAGGCCTGCTCTGACTTGCAGACCCTGTTCTGCCCACCCCCTCCTTGGTGTTTCCAGTTCCTGGAGGGAATTACCTTTTCTTTCCACTAAGGGTAGCTTGCTACCACCACTGTTCTTTTGGAGGTTTTCCACTAGGAGGGACAGGCCCCTAACTTCCCTTCACACCCTGAGGCCATGCCTCTGTCTTCCAGAGCCTGGTTACCACGAGGACCAGATACCGTGTTGGGGCTCCCCTTGAGAAATAGCCACAAGGAGGAGGAGGAGGAGGAGAAGAAGAAGAGGAGGAGGAGGAGGAGGCAAAGATTGGATTTATACCCCGCCCTTCACTCGGAGTCTCAGAGCGGTTTACAATCTCCTCTCCCTTCCCCGCCCCACAACAGACACCCTGTGAGGTAGGTGGGGCTGAGAGCTCTTTTCAGAACTGTCCTTGAGAGAACAGCTCTTACAGAACTATGGCTTGCCCAAGGTCATCCAGTAGCTGCGAGTGGAGGAGTGGGGAATCAAACCCGGTTCCCCCAGATTAGAGTCCACACACTTAACCACTATACCAAACTGCACACTGACTGCTTTCCTTTTTTTTTCTTCCAAGAATTTTATTTTTTATCGTTAAACAAACAAAATCAAAACAAATGAACATACAATTTGGGGGGGTTTCATATACATCTTTATTATGTCTAGTATGTTATCTCAAACACTATCTGTTTATATATTGTCCATTTTTATCACCATATGTTTTTGTACAAATATTTTGCTTTAAAGTTGAAAATGTATTTTATATTTTTTTCCAATGTTGATATTATTTTAATCAAAAGATTAAAACATTTATTTAAAAGGAAACATTTGCACACATACTTCTAGCGTGGCACTAGATTAGCAAATGAATTTCAAAGAAAACTGGATCAGAAACGCAATCCGTTCTCCCTGTTTACTATACATACCCTAACTGAGCCTTCGGGATAGGGCGGGATATAAATGCGAAAATAAATAAATAAATAAATAATAGTCTTCCAACCATTTGTAAAATCTTGCCCATGTATTTTCAAAGTTTCCTTCATCTTGTCCTCTAAGAATTAAAGTTTATTCATCCATCTCAGCCGTTTCAAGTATTTTAGTTATAATTTCTTCTTTTGAGGGTACTTCATTGTTCCTCCAGTATTTGGCATATAATATTCTTGCTGACACACTGATTGCTTTCCTCTCAACCTGAGGCCCCTCTTGCAATAGCATGTCCAAAGTGGTTGAGGGTCTATGTGGTACAGAGAACCACTACCAGCATCAAAAGATTAAAACATTTATTTAAAAGGAAACATTTGCACACATACGTCTAGCACGGCACTAGATTAGCAAATGAATTTCAAAGAAAACTGGATCAGAAACGCAATCCGTTCTCCCTGTTTACTATACATACCCTAACGGATGTTAAAATAAGGCAGATTGTCTTTCTACCACATTACCAGCGAGCTTCAAGCAAACTTCTGAGGAGGCGACATGACTGGAAAAAGATGGCCAGCCTAGAACAGCAACTTTCTCCTTCTGACTAGTCTCCACACAAAAAAAAACCCTCTTCCTCCTCCGCAGGGCTTATAAAAGACCCCGCACTCCACCCAGGAACTTGTCACCTTCGAGCCCCAAAGGACCCCAAAGCGAGCCTGAGAACTTCCTCCTTTCTTCCTGCCTGTCTAGCAAATCAGCCCTTCTCTGCTGCTGCCGGCTGAGAAGGGAGACGGGAGCTTCCTGCGCAGAGAGAGTCATTTACATTGGTATGGTGTAAAGTGAAGCCTCACTCTCCCCCCTTCCATCTTTAGCTCACAGGATAAAAACTCAGCAGTTCTAAAAACAGACTTCCCAGAACCCAAGGTGGGGGGCATTATCCCCACAGTCACTGTCACTATTCTGCCAACACACATAAATGACTCAAGAAGCGCAAGAATTCCTTGAAATTCAGCCAACTTGCCTGGAAGCCCTGAAAGGAAAGTGAAAGTAAACCTTTCAGCATGTTGAACAAAGTTTGCGTCCAGGGGCACCTTTAAGACCCACAAAGTTATATTCAAGGTGAAAGTTTTCGTGTGTGCACACACTTCGTCAGGCACAACGACATGAAAACCACCAGTCCACACACACAGATAGAGGGCAAGGAGCACATTAGCCTAACGAAGATGTTTAACAGATTCGAGGAATAACAAGCCTAGTATATGGTTTCCATTTGTTTGGGTTCAGCTCTGGGGGAGAAACATAGTTAAGGCAATAAATTTGTCAAATTGGAGACTGATGGGCACATGCATCATCAATTGTAGAATGCTGACAGTATTTGAGACCCTGTCATTACGTCTCCTCTCAAGTATGGAGGCGACCTTTCATCATCATCTTCTTTGAAGTGTGGTGATTGGCTGTGTACAGTTATCTCCCCTGTCCCCAGACCAGAGAAATACATTCCAATTTCCCTTTCAAATTACATTGTTCTACTATTCATCACGTTACAGTATGATCTACTATTCTAATCCATTATTTCAAACAAGAAATAAAACAAAAAAGAGGACATATGGCCCTTCTGGGGGATTGGTGAGAATACAGATATAAGGGCTGGATGGGGTTAGCATATGTAGTGAGATAAGAAACCAATATCCCTGTTGAGTCCTGGGGATTCTGAGTGTTGTAATGACTTGCAACTCAGCAATTTCCCTTTCTTGTCTGTTCCTGAAGTTCCTTTGTAATAAAACAACGACTTCGATGGTGCGACCTCATTTGGAATACTGTGTGCAGTTCTGGTCACCACACCTTAAAAAGGATATAGCTTTGGAAAAAGTGCAGAAAATGGCAACTAGAATGATAAAAGGGTTGGAACATTTTCCCTATGAAGAAAGGTTAAAGCATTTGGGGCTCTTTAGCTTGGAGAAACGACGACTGAGGGGTGACATGATTGAGGTTTATAAGATTATGCATGGGAAAGAGCAGGTAGAGAAAGAGGTACTTTTCTCCCTTTCTCACAATACAAGAACTCATGGGCACTCCATGAAATCGCTGAGCGGTCGGGTTAGAACGGATAAAAGGAAGTCCTTCTTCATCCAAAGAGTGATTAACACAAGAAATTCACTGCCACAGGAGGTGGTGGCGGCTACAAGCATGGATGGAGCAGAGGACCATCAGTGGCTATCTCGGTCTGGGGTGATGCTCTGCATTCTTGGTGCTTGGAGGGGCAAGAGTGGGAGAGCTTCTAGTGTCCTGGCCCCACTGGTGGACCTCCTGATGGCCCCTGGTATTTTTGGCCACTGTGTGACAGAGTGTTGGACTGGACACGGCTACCCACCTGATTCTATTTTCAGCATGCTGAAATCGACTCCACGGAACTGGGCAGCCCATCAAGAAGGGCCAAAGGTTATGACATCGCCCATGATTCAAATTGTATATAAGCCGAGCTGGTCTTCAAGACCGCAGCAAGATCTTCGGGGAAGCAGCAGTCTCCAACCAGGTTGCCAGAAGCTCCCTGCTAACGGTAAGCCATTCGTTACTAGATTCAGTCCGGTTTAACTGGGAAGCTATTTGAACTGCATGGCTGGATCTGTGGGTCAGGACAGTACTAGCTCATACAACACAAAACCACTACCCCTGACGCAAGAAAGCTGTTTTGAATGACAGTGGCACTGAAAGATGGGATTATGACAGCCAGTGTGGTGTAGCTGTTAAGAGTGTCGGACTAGTATCTGGGAGGCTCAGGTTCGGATCTCCAATCTGCCATGGGAGCTTGCAGGGTGACCCGGGGCCAGTTACTCTCTCTGCGCCAGGTTGGTGTCGTGGTTAAGTGCGCGGACTCTAATCTGGGAGAACCGGGTTTGATTCCCCACTCCTCCACTTGCAGCTGCTGGATGACCTGGGGCCAAGCCATAGTTCTGTCAGAGCTGTTCTCTCAGGAGCAGTTTCTCTCAGAGCTCTCTCAGCCCCACCGACCTCACAGGGTGTCTGTGGAGGGAAGGGGAAGGGAAAGGCGTTTGTAAGCCGCTCTGAGACTCTGAGTGAAGGGCGGGGTATAAATCCAATCTCTCCTCTTCTTCTTCTTCTACCTCACCGGGTTGTTGTGAGGATAAAATGGAGGAGAGGGGAACAAAGCCACTTTGGGCCCCCATGGGGAGGAGAAAGGTGGGGTCTAAATGAATTAAGCCCACAGCATGGTTGAATGAGGCACCCCACACACACATACCTCATCAGGTCCTGGAATGGTTGCCCACCCCCCGAAAAGAGGAGGACAAAAATAACCTCACTCAGGACAACTGTCTGCCCCAAAATCCACGCCCTCCCATCTCCGGAAGTCATATTTTGTTGAATTTGTGGTTTCTCGCCCCTCTCTCTAAACTCTCTAAATTTTCCCCAGTCGGTGTCCACAATGCTACTGGGTCTCCTCCTCATCTGCGTGGGCTGGCACACCACGCCGGGGGGCGCAGAGGTGGTGACCTCTTTCGAAGAAACTTGCCCCCGTTTTTTCTTCAGGGAAACCCCTCCAAGAATCGGACTCACACCCGCACACCTGGTTCGAATCTGCCAGCGTTACAGAAATCAGTACCGTTACGCCACGATGTACGACAGGCCAAATTACATCCCCCTCTACTCGGCCTACATCTACAACCCCGGGAAGGCAAAGAGGCCCCAAAACTGGATGGTGGAACCCCAGGTAAGACGGGGGGGGAGTGGTTTGAAGCCTTGGCACACCTCTAGCCTTTCCCTGCCCTGAGCTAGGGTTGCCATCCTCCAGGTGACGCCTGGAGTTTTCCCGCTATTACAATTGATCTCCAGACGATCAAGATCAGTCTCCCCGGGAGAAAATGGCTGCTTTGGAAGGTGGACTATGGCATCATACTTCATTGAAGTCCCTCCCCTCCCCAAGCCCCACCCACCTTAGGCCCCACCCCCCAAATCTCCAGGTATTTCTCAACCTGGAGCTGGGAACCTTAGAAGACAGGTGGAAGGGGCCTGAAGCATCGGCACAAACGGTCACTTTTCTCTGCCCCCCTAGGAAGGAGAAAAAGCACCAGGCTATTTTGTGTGCATGTGCGGTACATGCTCCCTGTCCCAAGCCGCTTACAATTAGGCTTGCCAGTCTCCAGGTGGAGGCTGGAGATTTCCTGGAATTGCAGCTGGTCTCCAGGTTAGAGGGATCAGTTCTCCTGGAGAAAACTGCTGAGTGGGTGACGGCGTGGGAAATGATGTTCAATTAGGGTTGCCAAGTCCTACTCACGAAATAGCGGGAAGGGGGGATCCATGGCATCCCCGGGAGTCCTCCTGCGCGTGCGCAATGACATCACCCGGAAGTGACGTCATTGCGTCGGGCACGTTGGGGGCGGGGCCACAATCATTCGAGGGAAAACCAAAGAGTTTTCCCTCGAATTATAGAGCGGCGTCCCCCCCCCCCCGCAACATGCCTGACGCCATGAGGTCACCTCAGGGTGACGTGTTAATGCTGGGCACGTTGCGCGCTTTGGGGGTGGGCTTCAGGTCTTTCAGGCGGTGGGGAATGGGGGTGGGGAAGGGGCCTCTCGGCCGGGGGGGACTTGGCAACCCTAAGTTCAATACTGGTAAGTGATCTGGAACTTGGGATGAGTGACCAGGTTTGCAGATGACACCAAATTATTCAGGGTGGTGAAAACCAAGACTGACTGTGAAGAGCTCCAAGAGGACCTTCACAAACTGGGCGAGGGGGCGACAACGTGGCAAACGAAGTTCAGTGTTGGTAAGCGTAAGGTTTTTGTTTTGTTTTTCATCCTCCTGGGGGGAGGTTTTTATTGGGTTTTTTTTACAGATTACAAAAGTACAACAGAAAATATAGGGAAGGGAACTACATCTAAGAAAAAAAGAAAAAAGACCCACAACTAACTAAAAACCCAAGGGTAGGAGAGCAATACATCAGCTTATCACCATGCTATTTTCAAAAAGCTACTAATAATACAATGAATTTAGTCGGTTATGCTAGATTAATTATCGTTTAACCATCCCTTTAACTGTTTAAAGTTCCCAGAGCATCCCCAAGTAATTTCAACCTTTTTTCAGGCATAAATCAGAGTCCTTCGGCCCTTATTTATTCTTATCTTTTCTAATCCTCAGTTTATATGAACTTTTGGGGGCAGCCACCCCCTTTTCAGAGGGGGAGTCCTCGTCCGAAGACCCCGAGCCCAACTCGCCATCAGATTTGCTTTCTTCTTTCTCCCCTTTGCCCTCTTCTGGTTCCCCAAGCTGTGTCCGCAGAAATTCACGTGCTTTAAAAACAGAGTCAATCTTTTCTTTTTTATCATTGAGCTTGAAAATGACGCCTTCTGGGATTAACCACCTGTAACTGATGCCATTTATTTGTTTGTAAGAAAAGGGTTAATTCTTTATCGTTCTTTCTCTTCTGCCTTATATCAAATGGAATGTCTTTTAAAATCCTAATATTGTTGCCCCTGATTTTCAAGGTGTAAGGTGATGCACTCAGGGACAAAACAAAGTCTCAGCTTCAAGTATAGCCTCATGGGGGTCTGAACTTACTGAGACTGAGAGGGGAAAAGATCTTGGGGTCGTGGTGGACAGCTCAACGAAAGCGTCAACAACCATGTGCTGCAGCAGTGAAAAAAAGGCACACTCAATGTTAGGGATTATTAGGAAAGGGACTGAGACTAAGACAGCCAATATTGTAATGCCGTTGTATCGATCTATGGTGCGGCCTCATTTGGAATGCTGGGTACAGTTCTGGACTCGCTGTATCGCCAAAAGGACATGGCAGAGCTGGAAAAGGTACAGAGGAAGGCAACCAAGATGATTACGGGATTGACACCCCTTCTCTATGAGGAAAGGCTGAAGAGTCTGGGACTTTTCCGTTTAGAAAAGAGATGACGGGGGGGGCAGAGGTTTATAAAATGATGCCTGGGGTGGAGAGAGTTGACAAAGAGAAATGTTTCTCCCTCTCCCAAAAGACTAGAACTCCAGGGCATCCAGTGAAGCTGATGGGCAGTAGGTTCGGGATGGACAAAGGGAAATACTACTTTACACAGCAAGTTATTAAAATGTGACATTTGCTACCAGAGGATGTAGTGACGGCCACAGGAATAAACAGTTTAAGAGGGGATTAGATAGATTCATGGAGGATCAGTCTGTCAGTGGCTAGTAGCCATGGTGGCTGAGGGGAACCTCCACATTCAGAAGCAGCAAACCTCTGAATCCCAGAGCCAGGAAGGAGGCAACATCAGGGGAAGGCCTCGGCCTTTATGCCCTGTTGTTGGCCATCCAGAGGAACCTGGTTAGCCACTGTGTGAGACAGGATGCTGGACTGGATGGACCACTGCTCGGAAACCTGCTCTGTTGTCTCAAGGGTGTGTGTACGTGTGCCTGTCCCGCATGTGTTTTGCTCCCTCTAGTGGTCGTTTTCACTTTTACATCGGTATATATCTCCCTGCAGATTTAAACTGCAGGTATTTCTGCGAGACATAAAGCAATGTAATATCGAATCTACCACTAGAGGGAGCAACAGAACAGAAGAGAATCCCTGAAGTCCCAGGAACCCACATGCCAGGAAAATTAGAATGTGGAAAAGCTCTTACTCTCCATTGTCATTTTAACTCTGGCTTTCTGTGACTCTCCTGTCTTTCAAAGCTTGTTCGTTCATCGTTGCCACCTGAAATGACTTTGGAAGAGGACCTCCTGAAAAAACAAGTCACACTGGCAGAGCTTGAGAAAAGTCAGGCCGTCCTGAAAGATTACAAGAACCTGATTGATTACAACCGGGGCCACCTCAACCCCAACAGCCACCAGCCCAACTCGGATGCCAAAAAGTCCACCTTCACCTTGACCAACACCGTGCCTCAATATGAAAAGCTCAACGGTGGCTCCTGGGCGAATTATGAGGACAAGACGATGAAGGTCAAGACCCAAGGGTGCAAGGACACCTTTGCCGTCGTGGGCGCGGTGCCAGGGAACAAATACATAGCTGGGAAGAGGGTGAACCAGCCCAGCCACGTCTGGTCTGCAGCCTGCTGTTACATAGACAACAACCGCATAAGGTCCTGGGCCGTCATCGCCAGAAACGATAAGGACGCGGTGGAAGAGCTCACTCTGGGGCAGCTGGAGGGGAAACTGGCTGAGCTGTATCAGCAGAACAGCATCTCCCTGTTCCACAGCGACTGTCCCCGGCAGTAAGACGTTGGCTGCACCCATCAAGTGGTCATGGGCTCCATATAGGGTCAAAAAATTTAGCATGAGAAAAGTATATGATTATGGAGAATGGTATGAAATTTAGTTAATAGTTAAATACATTTTATAGAAGGTTTTTGTAGCAGAAAAACGGGTCTTGTTAATCAATGGAGATGCAAATGTTATAGGTCTTGGTGATTGTGTAACTTTAAGGGAGATCTAAAGTTAGACTTATAGAAATAAGATAGTTAAAAAATATAGGTTTGCAAAATATGAGGTGATCACATGGTGGGGAAAACAGCACTTAGATATACATAAGAAGATAAGAGACGCCAATGTTGGATCAGGCCAAAGGCCCATCCAGTCCAACACTCTGTGTCACACAGTGGCCAGCAACACCAGTGCCATCAGGAGGTCCACCAGTGGGGCCAGGACATTAGAAGCCCTCCCACTGTTGACCCCCCCTAGCACCAAAAAGACAGAGCATCACTTGCCCCAGAGCCCCTATCTATACCTTGTGGCTAATAGCCACTGATGGACCTCTGCTCCATATGCTTATCTAATTCCCTTTTGAAGCCGTCCATGCTTGTAGCCGCCACCACTTCCTGTGGCAGTGAATTCCAAGTGTTAATCACTCTTTGGGTGAAGAAGTACTTCCTCTTATCCGTTCTAACCCGACCGCTCAGCAATTCCATGGAGTGCCCACGAGTTCTTGTATTGTGAGAAAGGGAGAAAAGTACCTCTTTCTCTACCTGCTCTTTCCCATGCATAATCTTATAAACCTCAATCATGTCACCCCTCAATTATATCTATGTATGCGGTGATTTAAGAGATATGATGTTGTTGTTATTACTTTTGCATATGTTTGTCTGTCTGTCTGTTTAAAATACTTAAAATTATTATAATAAAAATGGGTCACCAACAATGTTCCCTCTAAGCTTTGGAGTCTTGTGAGCAAAGATTCTACTTTGTGTGCTACTAGCATTAAAGTTGTGAGTGAGCGATTTGGCTGCTGCATACATTAGTCTGCTCTGGAGCCCTCCTTCCTGAGCGAAGACAAAAATGTGTGAGCCGGAGGCTAGAAAACTGTGAGCCAGCTCACACTAACTCAGCTTAGAGGGAACACTGGTCACCAACCTCCAGGTGGCACCTGGAGAAAATGGCTGCTCTGACGGGTGGTCTCTACGGAGTTATACCCAGCCTGCTGTTACATAACCACATAAGGTCCTGGGCCGTCATCGCCAGAAATGATGAGGACGTGGTAAAACATCTCACTCTGGGGCAGCTAGAAAAGCAACTGGCTGAGCTGCATCACCAGAACAGCATCTCCTTGTTTCACAGTGACTGTCCCCGGAAATAAGACATTGACTACATCCGTCGAGTGGTGACACGCCCCTTATGGAGTTGCCAGCCCGCAGGAGGCAAACGTAAAGAAACACCGCGTTAGAACAAAACACACTCGACTAATATGCACTTGTGTCTTCATAGAGTGATTTAAATGCAATAGAGAAGACCCTAGTGTATCTTATACACATTCATTGTAATACAAAAACCTAAAGTACATTATATACCTACTAATAGAAAACTCCACAGCTACAGAGGACCTATTCCAATGCCGTAGAACAGTGGTGGCGAACCTATGGCACGGGTTCCAGAGGTGGCACTCAGAGCCCTCTCCGTGGGCACGCGTGCCATCTCCCGAGCCAGGCCGAGACCATCATTAAAGTGTCGACTTGTCTGCCAAATAATTTTAAGTAAATGAAAGCATTTGGGATTGCTTTCCTTACTTTGTTTGGATCATCTTAAGTTAATGTATGAGTTGTTTTTTCTAAAGTCTACCTCAGTGTTCAGGTTAAATTGCCGTGTTGGCACTTTGCGATAAAGAAGTGGGCTTTGGGTCGCAGTTTGGGCACGCGGTCTCCAAAAGGTTCGCCATCACCAATGCTCCCTCTAAGCTGTGGAGTCTTGCGAGCAAAAATTCTACTTTGCGAGCCGCTGGCACTGAAGTTGTGAGCGAGCGACTTGGCTGCTGCATAAATGAGTTTGCTCTGGAGCCCATCCTTCCTGAGCTGAGACAAAAATGTGTAAGCCTGAGGCTAAAAAATTGTGAGCTGGCTCACACGAACTCAGCTTAGAGGGAACACTGGCCATCACTGCCGTAGACTGTCTTGCTCCTGATAAGAGACTGATGGAGGTTGCAACAGGCGTAAAGGATGAGAGGCGCAGCAGGCTGTTTACATTCTCCACACAAAGTGATTCAGCCAAGCGTCAAGGCAAGCGACACGCCTCCCGGGCAAAAATTGCGTGTCCCGACAGATTCTTCTTCCGGCAGACATAGTTCTCCTGGAACCGAAGCTCACAATGCTACAGTGCACAAGTCAACAATTCTATAGCAAGCTTCTCTGGTTCTCCATGCAGATGGCACCTGGAGATCACCCACTATTACAGTTGATCTCCAGACGACCCAGATCAGTCCCCCTGGGGAAAATGGCTGCTCTGACGGGTGGACTCTACGGAGTTATGCCCAGCTGAGTTCCCTCCTCTCCCCGTACCCTGCCCTCCTCAGGCGCCACTCAAAAAACCTCCAGGTATCCCCCAACCCAGAGCTGGCAACCCCAGCTCCGTCCCAGAGCGTACATTAAACGGGTTCGGCAACCTCCTCTTTCCACTCTGTTTATTTCGAACATCTCTGTAACTTGTGAAAAGGAACAAAGTGTGAGTCCGGTGGCACCCCTCAAAACCAAGAAAGTTTAACTCTGGGTATAAGCATCCAAGGTATCCCACACAGGGGTCATTTCCTGCAACAAGCCCCACCCCCTGCTCCCAGCAGCCCTCAGTTGGGCCATGAGGAGCAAGAAGCAGCCAAGTAAGTTGCAGAGCCCCCCCCCCCGCCTGCCTTCAGGTAGAAGCTCTCCCTCCTCTGTGAGGACAGATCTGCGCGTTCCCCCCCCCCCCAATAGCTAGCAATCCAAAACAGTCCAGTGGAGCCTGAGTGGTGGGTGTTGCCTTCTGACACACTTCCGGTGGTCAGGGGGTGTGGCATATGCAAATAAGTTATGCAAATAAGTTATGCTAATGACCTCCTGCACCTCTATTTCTACAAAATGACCCCTGCATGCACACCTCTTCAGATCTGAAGAAGCATGCATGCACACAGACCCCTAGACCCAGAATCAAATCTTGCACACAAAAAGCTTATACCCAGAATCAAATTTGCTGGTCTTAAAGGTGCCACTGGACTCAAACGCTGTTGTAACAAAAAAAAATTTATAACAACAACAAACAAACAAAACAACAAAACCAAACAAATCTAACAAACAAACATACAATGGGAGAATCAATCCATTAATTATCTCTTAAGGGTTTTTCCTCTCTAAACAAAGGTAAATTTCGACACCTTAACATGTCCGTTTAAACTTTTGCACATATTACTATCAATGTTCTTATGTTTTGTCTCAGTTGTATACACAGTTCATTTAATATATTCTTCAATCCATCTGTAAAGTCTTAACCATGTATTTTCAAAATTTTAGTGTTTTTGTCCTCTCAAAAATAAAGTTAATTTATCTATCTCGGCAGTTTCCAGCAGTTTATTTATTATTTCTCCTTTTGACGGTGTCTCTTTTCTTCCCCAATATTTAAGCATACAATATTCTAGCAGTTGTAACAACATGTATAATCAAATGGGAGTCCTACTAAGTGATTCAATATAGGTCAGATAGACTGATTATTGTTTACTTACCCAGTGACCTGGTACGTTGTTCTGTGTTTTGTTTTAAGCATTGTATGTATTCTATTCTATTCAAACACACTATATATATGGTTTTGCTTGTTTGTTATTTCTCAATAAAATGTTAATTGGGAGAAAAAAAGGAGTCCTGTTTTTTATAACTTTCTGGAACTATGTTCAGTAAAAACAATTCTAGTACAAATGTACCCAGGCCCAATATTTTTTACATTTATCACAGTACAATATACCATCTATAAAACATATTGTAAATATTTTCTTTATAAGAGATTGCTTTGGTAATTTTTATATTTGTTTTCCAAATCTTAGACTATTGATCTAACTCAATGTTATGCCCTAAGTTTTGTGCCCCATTTAACCATCTCACGCTGAAGTCAGAAATCCAAAGGTCATCCAGCAGGTGCAAGTGGAGGAATGGGGAATCAAACCCGGTTCTCCCAGATTAGACCACTGCACCAAACTGTGAACCTGGGGGTGTATGATGTATGGTGGTCCAGACCTTATTTTGGGGTTCAGAGCTTTCAAACTCTCCTCAGTGTTTTTGGTTGAATTCATGAATAAGTCGCAAATAAGGGATGAATAAGGAACTGGGAATAAGAAACCAACTTCCACCTCGTGGCTTAATGGGGTGTTATTTATCAAGTGAAATTCTTTACCTCTGTCATGAAAAGCTTACTCTGCCCATGTTCCCCAATTAAGGTAAAGGTTTCCCTTGCCCGAAAGCTAGTCAAATCTAGGGGGCAGTGCTCATCTCCGTTTCCAAGCCGAAGAGCCAACGCTGTCCGAAGACTTTCCCGTAGTCATGTGGCCCGCATGACTTAATGCCGAGGCGCACGGAATGCTGTGACCTTCCCCCAATTAAGCCTCTGTTAAATTTTTCTCCAGGCCTGTTGGCAAGCTGAGCTGCTGCACAGCAGCAATTCACTTGCCCCTGTTTGCCCCTGCAGGCCTGATGGGGACTGAATTCTGTCAGTTCTCAGACCACGGCTAACCTCTTGCGAGAAAGCCTGGAATGCATTGTGCCTCTCTCCGCATTTTTGCATTGCAAAGGTGTCCTGATTTCATCCTGCCAAATACCGTAGATTTTCCAAAAAGACTGTGCGTGAGACATTCTGCCTTTTGGAAAATTTGCACTCGTAACCCACATAATTCTCTGGCCCTGCTCCTCCGTCTGAGCAGCTCCAGGTCCCTTCTCCTCCCCGTTCCTCTGCAGCAGCCCAGCATCGCCTGATTTCTCGCAAGATCCAATTAGAAGCCAGCGCCTGACTTCGGCTTTGGCAAAGGCGAGGGCTGGCTCCTCCCCATTGGCCCAGCAGAGCTTTGCAGCAGCCGGTCGCCCAGGCAACAGAGCACTGGAGCAGCCCACGCCCATCTCCTCTGGTCCTCTTTCTCCCTGAAGGTGGCTTCAGCATCCTTAACCCTTTCACGGCCTGCTATGAGTTTGCGGCTGCTTGGGGAAAGCGGACCTTTCTTTTTCTGGCTCCTGGGTCTTGAATGGCGAATCCTTGCGGAGGCCTGGCAAACGGAGATAAAGCCACGCAAAAGAATAAATGGGTACAAATCTTAAAGACTAACAAAATTTGTGGTGATATGAACTTTCTGTGGTGGCTCAAGTGGTTAAGACGCTGAA